GCCGCCTACCCTCACGAGGTTGCCTGCCTGCCCTCCCTCTCCTCTGCCTGCCGTCGCCACCCGCCCATAATTATAATTCTTCAATAGTGGACAAATCCTCTGCATATCTAAACGCCTACAAGGGACAAGTCCTACATGTCTGCAGGCATAATATGAAGCCGATAATAAAAGTCACAATAACTTTTAGCCATATCTACAATCAACTCAGCCATTCTATCACGTTTCCCCCAAATCACCCCCTTCTTTTCCTTATCGATTTTTTTCTTACCCTTACTCCTACTACCCTTCTTCTCCTCAGGTGTCTTATTATTCTTTACAAATTGGGTATAGATTGTATTAGTCGTTGTTCCATTCATATTTATCGGAATTCCCTCCTTTGGCAAACCAGTAATTCGATGAACATCCTCTATACCAAACACATAATCTTTATTCCCAATCGTAAATGAGCATTTATCGGGATTAAAATTTTGAGCAATTAATTGCTATTTGCTCATTGCTTTTGGATGTGGGTATCTAGAGGAAGTTGTGAAAAGGTGTCTTCCCAAGGGCGTTCATATGTTTCTCATCCAATACTATACGCTTATCAATTAAATCTCGAAAATAACAAAGATTGGAAGGAATCCGCAATTGTGTTATCATAGCCAAGGTTTTGAATATCGGTTATCGGGGATTTATCGGACGGCTAAAATCCTTATCGGATAGCGGAAATCGGGGATATATCGGGGATAAGTAGTATTTATCGGAGTGATATATCGTATGTTGTGTATATATAATATAATAACCCAAATTGTAATCTAACCATACTCCACTCTTTCATTCTCTCAACCTTCACTAAATAACTAGAGAAAAAACCAACTAAATGGTGAATATTATTTGTTACTATAACTTCAGAAGTTGTGTTGAGGGCGTGGCGTCAATGGAGAGTCCAAGTCAAACTTTCGAAGTCAGAGTTGATGATGGCGTCGATGGAGAGAGCTCGGCATCGATGGAGAGCTCAGCGTCGTTCAACGTCATCGAGTCAATCAGATCAGTTGATGATGGCGTCGATGGAGAGAGCACAACATCAGTCGAAGTCGTCAAGTCGATGAAGTTAATGTTGATGAGAGAGCAGCGTCGAAGTTGATAGCGTTGAGGTCAACGGAGTCCGAAGAAGAGCGGAGGCGAGCGTCGAAGTCGGCGAATGAGAGCGTCAAGGTCGACGGAGTCCAAAGAGAAATAGAGTCAGAGGATTAGGGCAGTAGGCACAACCGCACAAATGAGGGGAGAGAGAACAGAGGATTAGGGCTACTTAATCGAGTTTAAGTTTTATTGTAAAGAACGGGTCGTGTCGGGTTTCAAGTTCACTCAAAAACTGTCCATTACCCAAAATCACAACCTAATAGTGTGGCCCGATAATTCCGATTTTAGAGCTGCTAATATCGGCCGATAATCACCTTTATTGCCGCATTATCGCCGATAAACCCTAAAAAAAGATAACCGATTTAAATTCTAACTTATCCTATCGGAAAGCTCTCAAAACCGATAACTCGGGGATAATATCGGATTATCGGCCGATATTTAAAACCTTGATCATAGCCCAACAAAAGAATTATAATTCGGAACGTTAATAATTAAATATAATATATATCATTTAACTATCTAGTGCTATAGGGCAAAATATGATAATATTAGTTTAAACTCTGTGCTCTTTTACGTTGATCAAAATATTGGTGCACTGAGGATATATTACATACCGAGAAACATGCATATAGACACTAATATTATACCTAAAATAAATACTTCTACATGACAGAAATCAAACAAATGAAACCTAAGTCATGGAATGTTCCATGAAAATATCCCTTTTATTCATAATATGTACTACATATCATACATAAAGTAGTTCAGATAAATAGGTAAACTACATGTGTGTGTATCCAATTGTCTTAACAACCCTCATTTAAAATTATTCTCTGTTAAACAAGAAGCTCCGAACTTCTTAGGCCTTTCATGTATGAAATTTAGGACTATTGTAGCTGAATTCCCAAGCACGCGTTGAAGGTTCACAATATTAATACCTAATGAAATCATCACACAAAATTATCACATTATTAGGCTCAAGATCAGAGGTACAACTTGTACGAAATTGTAGTATATATATGATCATATTCTCTATAGGTACTTTTATATCAAGAAAAATTTACTTTATTTGACTTTCAAATAAAACACAAATTAAAACACAAAATTTACTTATGAAGAAGGAGGTTTCTTACATTTAGAGGAGGAAGATCTTATTGATTTTGAAGAAATCCAAAATGTCGACCCCTTCAATTTATTTGAAGACATGCTTGATGAATATGGTTCTGACTCTCTGTGTTCACGCTACGATCATAAAGAAGGAGGTGTCGCTTAGGTTTCCTGGGAGCAAGGTCGTCTGGGATGGGATATAAAGACGCTCCAGACGCTGATTGATCGTCGAGCACCAGATTGAGCGGCAGTCGATCTGTGGGCGAAGAACGAGGCTTCAAATTACAGTGATGGGGATATTATCAAGTGGAAGCAACTGTGGATAGTGCTCGGTGAGAGGTGGCTTGTGTTGGGTATGGGGGGTAAAGAGGGGAGGCTTTCGCTGGCGGAGGTGATGAAGGGGAAGGGGGAGGTTTGAGAGGGAGATTGTTAGGGAGAATGAGCTTGTGAAGGCGAAGCTTGAGGAGATTAGGAATTAGTGGTTTGTGGTTGCGTTTCTTAGGGCGGGCAAGTAGCGAGGGTTGGCAGAGAAGAGGGCAGCGCTGAGAAACAAATGCTAAAATGAGAAGGGATGGAGGATTAGGAAGTGCGTTAGATTCAAAGAGGGTTAAGATGGAAATCCAAATGGATGGGTTAAGATATTATATATATATATATATATATATATATATATATATGAGAAAAATGAGTATGCTTGGTACCAAGCACAAATTTTGTGCTTGCTAGTGATGTGTCCTATTCCCATTCATTCATTCCAATTCCCAACCATTCCCTAACCCATGTGAATGTAGTGTTGGGTCCTTTTGTTTTGATGATGATTAACAAATAATTTATAACTAATATTGTTTGTCTAGTGTTTATGTTTTGTATTTATTCTAGGCAAATAATAAGTTGGAGCATGGATGGAATCAAGCATTCACGATCATATCCAATGGAGATTGGCGGAATAGTGGTTGAAGCATTGTAATTCATGTTGAAGATCCAAGTTCAAGCTTCATCCGTAAGTTTACCAAGATAGAGCTTCGTTGAAGATCACAAGCTTGGGTATATTTAGTTTAGGTTTTATATTATGTGTGTTAAGTACTTTAAGCTCAAATCATACACACACATACACGTTTTGGTTTATATATATATATAGAGAGAGAGAGAGCTTCGTTGAAGATCACAAGCTTGGTGATTTTGTGAAAATATTGTTTTATTAGTTTTCCAAAGTTTTATATTTTTCTGATTTTATTTGTTATTTTTAAAGACAGTTTAAAAATCAGATTTCTGTTTCAAAACAGGCTGATAACCTGTTATCAGTCGACTAGTAAGTCGACTGATGATATCAGTCGACTGATGTGTCGACTGAAAAAATCACCTGTAATGTCAAAAAGTTTCTGTTTTGTTTTGGTCGATTGACCAGTCAACTATTGAGGTCATCAGTCGACTGATGAGCTGGAAAATACCTGTAACGGTTAGCTCATCAGTCGATTGATGAAACCCGTCAGTCGATTGATGCTGTAACGGCTAGTTTTTTTAACCTCTTACAGATTTGGGGTTTTTTGGTCTTTTTGCCTTGTATTTTCTTGGCTTTGGGGTTCCTATAAATACCCTCACATATCCTCCGTTCTAATTAGACAAGAGAATGTTTTAAGAAAGTTTAACAAGGGTTTAAAGTTCGGTTTAAGTTTGTTTAAAAACCTTTAAAGCATTTTCAAGTTTGGTTTGTGAAGCAACTTTCACAAGAGCAAAGTGAAGATCATCCTTTGGTGTTTGAGCATTCACTCTTCTCCCTCTCTCTTGTTATCATTAGAGAAGTTTTTTCTAAACTCTTATCTAGCTATTTATTTGTTTGTTTTTTATTTTCTTAAAGCTAGATTTATTTGAGTTTAGTTTGTTTTATCAAATCTCATTGTTACACACACCCATTTGAGCTTATAGTATTTCATACATAGTTTAATTGGGGTTGTGAGAGATTGTAATTTTGAGTTGTGTTTAATTGAGTTCTCACCTTATTTAGAGAACAATTATTTGTTGAGTGCCTAGATTATGAGATTCACTTTGTAATACACTAGTACACCAAGAGGAATATGTTGTGAGAGATGGGATCGTCCCAAGAGGAGTGGGGTAGAGAGGTTGTAATTCCTAACACTTGAGGGAGACACGGTCTAGAGACCAACACTTGAGGTGGTAGTTGTTGACCCTATAGTTTTGATGATGATTTGTCAAACAATTTATCGCTAATATATTCTCTAGTTTTTGTGTTTATGTGTCTCCTTTCAGGTATTTCAACACACGTCAATCAAGCGTTAAAGATTCAAGTTCATATGTGTGGATTTACCTAGGTATATGTTTGGTTTACTTACATATATTGTATGATTATATCTAAGCTCAATATATGTACACGTAACACGATTTTTGATGTTTTCTATCATATAAATGATTTTTCATCAAACGTTGTTACAATAACTTTTATCTCATGTTTACAGCTCTTTCATACTTCATTATGTGCATATAATACATGCTCAATATATATATACATATTCACAAGCTCTATGTCAATTTTCATGTTCACGAAAAACAGGTTTTCTGAACACTTTTCAAAAACAAGGAGTTTTCATAAAAGAAAATTGATTTTTCAAAAATTCCTTTTCAAACATGTTTATTTTATCATTTAGAAACTTTCCCCAAAGTTTCACTATTTTTGGATTTGAATTGATATTTTTAATGAATTTTCAAAACAGCCCCAAAACCTGTCAATATGCTATATGTCAGTTTTCGGTCGACCGGTGCGGTCGACCGCCAGTTATATTTTCCTGAGCTCGGTTGTTTTGTGCTCGCGGTCGACCGCACCGGTTGACCGGCCCCCCCCCCCGCCCCCCCCCCAGCCTTGATTTCTCATTCTCTGTGCTTTTGAGCTTCGCGGTCGACCGGACCGGTCGACCACCAAACTGTCAGAACTTTATAACAGCTAGTTTTTTACAGCTGTTTTGAAACTGGTTTTTTGGTCTTTTACTTATGTTTTTTTGCTGTTGTATTGGGTGCTATAAATACCCCATTGCTGCTCTTCCTCAAGTGATCCAAGAAATCCAAGTTTTGTGTTTAACAAAATATTAATTGTGTTTAAGAGCTATTTAATAGTTGATTTCATCAATCAGTTTTCAAGAGAAGTTTTTCTACAACAAGAAGTGGCCTTCAAATCCCATTAGGATCATCATCTACTGTTCTTCTTGTTTGAGAAGTCTTCTAAACTTTTATATAGCTTGTTATTTCATTTTCATTTCATTTAGCTATATTTATTGAGTTTCATTCACTGTTATCACACACACTTATTGAGCTTGATATTTTCATACCATATAGTGTGGGTTGTGGGGTGTAATTTAGTGAGTGTGAGCCTCATTGTGTTCTCACTTGTTATTTGAGAACAAATCATTGTATTTAACTTTTATTTGTGAGAATCACTTGTAATACACTTGTACACCGAGAGAAGTGTGAGGCGAGACATGGGGTCGAATCCAATAGGAGTGGCGTCGATTGACGAACCTAGGGAGAGGTCATAATCGAGCACTTGAGGAGGAGGACACATGGTAGGTTCCTACACTTAGTGTGTAAAGTGTGATTGCATAGTGTTTGTGTAGTGTGAGAGTTTTCGGTGATCTTGTAAACCGAGTGTGTAGAAGTTCCGGCTTTCAAACCGGATTGTGATAGTGGATATCTCCTCGAGGTGAGGAGCGGGGACGTAGGTCGTGGTGATCGAACCTCGTAAACATATCGTGTGTTTGTGTTTTGCTTAGCGTACATTCTATTCATTATTATTATTCATATCCATATCATATTTCTTCTTGCAAGAACAAATTGATCAACATAATTTTAATTAGCTTTTAATTGGGATTAGATTAGTATAAGACCCTAATCACCCCCCCCCCTCTAGGGTCTAACAATTGGTATCAGAGCTTGGTGCTCTTTGATTTAAGGACTAACCGCCTTGAGTTAAAGATCCAAGTTATTGTATTTGTGCTAATCTAATTTTGATTACATTGTGCTTCTTGCATTTCATCTTTATGGATATGTATGATTCATCTTGCTTAGGATATGCTATTAATATTGCTCCTCGTTTGGATATTTTTCCCTATGCTCAATGGCGAGTTAGATTCAAACTTTTCGTTCAATCTAAACAATTTGATTTATGGGAAATTATTGAGGATGCCTATGTTGTTCCCATTTTGGAAAAATCCAAATGGTGTGAAAATGATAAAAGATTGTTTAACATGAATAAGCTTTTGTTAGAATATTTGATTAACGCTTTTCACTCATCGTTTTCTAACAAACTTGCTAACTTTGATAGTGCTCACGCTTTATGGAAACTTATTGAAACACATGAAGGAAATTTGGAGGCTATTCAACAAGCGTTAGAAAATCCCGCTTTGAGTTCTAAGGAAGCCTCATCTCCATGTACAATACCACTAGGTGATAACTCTAGTGAGGTATGCGGTAACGATGATATTATTACTTTTGATGAACTTGCTCTTGAGTTTGAAAAATTGCACAATTGCTATATTGATGTAAAGAGTAAGTATGTTAATATGAGATCCACTCATGAAACACTAGCTACTAAGTTTAATTTTATTGCAAATGAAGCCACCTCGGTCAGCCACCTAGGTGGCTCGGCCACCTGTTGGCCTTCTTGTTTTGATGATGTTTAACAAACAATTTATTACTAATGTTGTTTGTCTAGTGTTTGTGCATTCCTATGTTTTGTAGACAAACAACGTTGTTGGAGGATGGATGGAATCGAGCCTTAACGATCATATCAAATGGAGGTTGGCGGAATTGTGGAGTGAAGCAACATACAATTCAAGTTAAAGATCAAGTTCAAGCTTCATCCGCATGTGTACCAAGTTGAGCTACAATGAAGATCAAGATCAAGCTTGGGTAATCTAGTTTAGATTTTATATTATGTGTGTTAAGTACTCTAAGCTCAATTATCTATACACACACATTTATTATTGGTTTCTTCGTATATATATATATATAGATATATATATATATATATATATATATATATATATATATATATATATATATATAAAAATAGAAATTCAATTTGAGAAATTCTTTTTCTAACATGTTTTTTTTCATGTTTATAAACATTTCGTAAAGTTTCATCAAGTTTGGAATTGATTTGTTATATTTAATGGAATTTACAAAATCATGTTTTTCGTTTGTGCATGTTCGTGCATGTTTTACAAAACAGATGAGTTTTCATAAATGGGAAGTGATATTCAATAAATTCTTTCTTTTACATGTTTATATACATGTTTAGAAACTTTCCTCAAAATTTTACTATTTTTGGAATTGATTTACTATGCCCAATTAATTTTACAAAATCGTGTATGTTAACAGTTTTTCAGAAACTGTAAATTTGTGTTCAAATATTTATTTCTCTCAACTGGGAAAAGATTTTTCATAAATCCTTTCTCAGACATGTTATTCTACATGTATAGAACATTCCCACAAAATTTCATAATTTTTGGAGTTCATTTACTATTTTA